TTATTGGAATGTGTTGCAGGCATAAAAATAAAAAAGTGAGTAACTATTTGAAAAATAAAAAAATGAAAAAATAATGTTTATCTGCTGGAACATTAAATATCTTGTCTTTTTAGTGTATTCAGTTTAATTTAGTTTGAAAATGATTAGCAAATCATTGTATTCTGTTTTTATTTACGTTTTACACAACTTCCCAACTTCATTGGAACTGAGGTTGTAAAGGTAGTCTAAGAAAAAGGTTCCACACGTTTGACTTTTTTATGATTATTTTGCAGATAAACACAATAAGATTTTGATCTTGTGTTTAAAGGAGAAAAATGGGAAAATATAGATTAAAACTACACTTTAGAAAGAAAGACTGTTGATGTAACATTAAAAACGGCACTGATGTCAAAGATTAATTCAGAAGTGCTTTATTTTTACTGATTTCTTGCAGGTCATGTTTGACTTTATGGTTATGTAGCAGCTTTAGGGGTAGTTGTGGTTGTAGGTACAGTTGTGGTTGTGGGTGTGGTTGTAGTTGTGGTTGGAGTGGTGGTGGTCGTAGTTGGAGTGGTGGTGGTCGTAGTTGGAGTGGTGGTGGTTGTAGTTGGAGTGGTAGTTGTTGTAGTTGGAGCCGTAGTTGTGGTAGCAGAAGTGAGTTGACTGAGCCACTTGTTTATCAAGGCCTGGAACAACGAATTGGTCAAAACTGAACCTACGCCCCKGCGCTGTGTGAAAAAGCAGAAATAGCGTTAGTGAAACATCATAGTGTTCATGTTTGAATTGTTAACAAAGCACAGAAAAGTCTTACCTCATTTGAGTTGGAACCAGAGCCACTAGAGCGGGCGAATCGCTGGTGCTCCATCTATGGAAAATTGCCATAAAAAATGAAATATTTATTATATTACACTCAGAATACTGGTATCATCTGACTACAAATAAAAGCAAGAATACTTTGGAAAACGTGAAAAAATAATTTAATATTTTACATTTTTATATATATTTAAATATATTTTGAACTTCTAGAAAGACATCATTGGATGTGAGTGTACAACTGAAAAACTTTTGGAGTCAACATAATTTCATTTGGCCACCTCAGACAGGCTRATCAACTTTGTGAACACAAAAACTAAAAACTAGCATCTAAGTTACAAGTGAAGTGTATTCCTTTAAGGGATGCTCATTTTATTACTCAAAAAGGTGTGGTGGGCATTACTCTTCTAATATATTGTACCGTGTGAATAAATTTAACAGAACTATAACAATGGTAGTGTTGGGAGTGGAAAGAATTACAGTTTTACTCTTTTAATGTTTCATGAGATGTCTTCCAACAAAATGTTTACTGTGAAATAATAAATATGAATTTAAGTAAATTAAACAAAACAACTCATTCAGCATGCTGTAATCACAATCAGTTTAAGAATAATGGTCTATTTTCACTTTGTTTGTATTTTTCTAATGATCCCAGYTTTTCTGATTTGAATTATGACTTTTTAAATTAATATTGATAAAGTCGCACTTACAGGTTGAGCCACAGTGAGGCTCAGGAGGCATCCGAGAACAAGCGCTACCTTCAGCATGGTTTCAGTGATCTCACCTGTTGGGACAAAATAAAAACCATATTTTCCTAAAAGAACAATTAAAAAGTTCAGTAAAAAATATATGACATCGTATTTTTTTTTATAATTACCGTCAAGTCTCCTCTGCTTCAGTAAACTTTCTCACGGATGGAGAGTTTGTCGAAATGTGATTCTGAAGGTTGAACTTCTCCTTTATAAAGAACCTGGAAACAAGTTGTTGGGAAATTGCACTCACTTGGAAAAATTCCACCTTCGCCTTTCAACATGTGACTAATGAGCAGGAATGTTTAGAAACACAAACCACACCTGAGCAGGATTATGTTGCACTAAAAAAGGTCTTCATGAGGAATGGGATGTCCAAATTCTTATTGTCTGAAATCTAAATAACATTGATCACTTAATTAAAATATAATCTGGTAGACTGTTAAAAAACTTATGGACATTTGTGGTTCTGGTATTACAGACTAAATGACTTGGGAGTGATCCACCCAACGACATTTGCATTTCTGCTCATCATCTCTTGTTTTASACAAATAATTCTTGCATCAGTAGATTCAATAAGTATAACTCATTTTACCTGTTGATAAAACAATTATTGCAAGTTCAGCTTTTACTCCTTTTTAGTCAAACTATCATCATATAACATGTATGTACCACCACCACTACCCTCAAACTCTGGTTTGCTGTTGCAGCAKTTTAATGTCAGATAATCAAAGACATCACTGTTCAAGTGGCTCCTAACTGGGTGTTGGAAACCCACATCAGGATTAGCTCCACCTAGCATCTTGGTTTCAACAAGATTTCAACAGTAAATTTTGAGTCACTGCTTTTGTGAAACYAAACTGAGGAAAAWTTAAGTTAGGATCACCAGAAAATTGTGGTTAATCTCTAATAGGTTGGTGAAACATCCCTCTGATCTGAGACCTGTGGATTTACAGGAAACACACATTAAAATTTGCTTTTTTTTTTGCACATTGCATTACAATAGCCTTCCTGATCATCTCAAAAGTATTTTATGTTAATGCTATATATTATGAACAAATATTAAATATTATTAAGAAATAACAGATGAGTTGTTTCTGAATGTTGTAGATGATTTTCGCTGCTTGCTAATTTAGCTCTCTTGATTATGTTTGAGGTGGTTTGCTTTTAGTCAGAAAATGACAGAAAATAAATCCAAACAAAACTGCTACAAATTAAGTTTTTACATTTTTTAAAATGTGTTTAAAATATCTTAAGGTAAGGAAAACACTACTGAGATATTTTACAACATAAAATGAAGAGAATAATCATAACAATTGGTCACAAAGAACAATCCTCGATCCCGACTAAAGACACATGGGGATAGAGCATTTTAGGTTGTCGCTCCCAGACTGTGCACTGTGAAAACTGCTATTCAAATAAAGGTACTTACTACTTACAATAGACCAAAAAAAAAACTTTCAATTAAAGTAAAATGTTGTAAAATTGGGATCAAATTTGACCCCAGAAAAAAATWGATTTGAAACGTTTTTTTCTGGCAAAATTGTTTATTTAACACGTTTAGGAAAGCAAACAGTGGGTTTCAGTTAGGTTGTAGCAAACACCCTCCTGGGTATTTTTGCATCAGCAGATGCTTTTCCTTCTCAGCTGACAGCTAAGGCTCAAACAGGAAGGGAAAGTTGCCGTTACCCTGGGGAAAAAAATGTGAAAAGCAGGTGATAAATTAAGCATGATCCATGCCTGTTAGTGAAGGCGAACACACATTGCTAAACTTAATATGTAAATGTTGTAAAATATTTTTATATGTGTCTAAAAGCGTACCTCATCAGGCCTGGGGCCAGTCGTGTCACCTCGAGGATCAGGAGGAACAGTGGTGGACTCTTTCTGTGTTCCTGCTACCCATGTCTGACAAAAAAACCCATTTAGATGCATTTAGATATTGTTTTAAACTGCTGCACTTATAAAATGTCACATTTTTTTTCTGCAGTGTCAGATTACTGCAATAAATCAAGAAAAAAATGAATAACTCACTTTTTCTGTCTGTAGCTTCGGCTTTGAGGCTTGCTGAAATGGACAAAATGATGTGAAAATCAGATTACAAAGATTTTTTATAGATCTCCTCTTTAGATAAAAAGCATAAGCATTATATCAATAATAGAAGAGTAAAAATCACAAGAGTTTACAAAAGTGTCACTAAATAAAGTTATTACCACCGGTAATGGTGTTGTCAAATTAAAACTGCACGCAAGTATTACAAAACACATGTTTAGTGGTCAACACTGTCAGCAGTCCACTGAGAAATCAGACTAGTGGTTTTATAATGGCACCCGGATGTCATTACAACACACTCACCTCACCCAAACCATCATGACTCAGCATCCAGCTGTGTTATTATCATTAAGTCCTACTTTAAGTCATCATTGTCTGCAGGAGCTCTTCTACTTGATTCATGATGATACAAATACTTTTACTGCTTTTATATTAGCTTTTTGTCCCTTTTTGACAATATTTTTATAGTAAATATGTATACTACACTGTTTCATTAACGCTCTGTGTTTACTAAAAATCATATTTTGTTTGTTTTATTTKGATCAAATAGTTGAAGATACTTTTATGGAAAACGAACTTGATGAAAAGTGACCTGCAGTGGGAGTTGTGGTCGCTGTGTTGTCCTTTCCAAATTCTGCTGTCCGTTGTTGGGGAACATCACAGTATTCCTCTGCTGAGGGTAGCCATAAAAGTAAGGGTAGCCCTGGAGTCAAACAAACAAACAAACAGTTCATCGAATTTCTGAAGATTTTTTTTTAAAGTGCCAGTGCAGCTGTGTGATGATGCTCCAGCATCAACTTAAATATATTCAGAGTTGTAGCAAAATACCTATAAGTTCATAAACTGCAAAAGGTACAATAAAGAAAAGAAAAAAAAGTTAAACCCCTTTGGTTTAATCAAAATCCTAATGTTGTCAATTAGACTTTTTTGCTGATTTATACTAATTTAATTTTTTGCCATACTACGTACTTATACCAAAAGCCATGGAACACTATTCCCAATTAAGCTGCACATTTTATTTAAAAAACCAGCAAGGACAAAACTGTAAATGAGCAAGATTGAAACAATGGAATAATAATAATAAATTGTTTCAATGCTTATGCATAAAACTAGAAACTAACAAATTAAGATTTTGCAAACACTTCTGCATGTTTGACTTCATACCTGTTGCCTGTAAAGCTGAGGATATCCAAAGGACGGGTACTGAAACTGTGGATACATCTAATAAAAAGATTAAAAARTAATAAAGATTAGCTCCTCCCTGTGGTCATCATCAGTTGTGCTGATAAGCAGTGTAATCTGGTTTGGTACCTGCKCAGTGTTTGGGGTCTGCTGAGGAACATTGGGATTGTTGGGGTCTTGTGCAGGACCAAGCTGCTCTTGCTGACCGTTGGGGACAAGCACAGGCGTCAGCTGGTTGCCCTGGTTTGGGAGCAACAGTTGTGGCCCCTGAGGGCCAAAAGGACCTGCCACTTGGGGGTTCAGGTTCACCACCTGTGGGGTGAGCAGCACCTCAGGCGTCTGCTGTTGCAGAAGGAACGGAGGGAACAAGGAAGAGGCCTGGAGATGGAAAACATWCGTTTCAGTTTGAGATTATTTTTGACAATTTGACAGAGAAAGTGCAGCATAACTCCTAATAATCTGAGTAGCTGCAGTTGTTTACCTGAGTTTGTCCAAGAGCTGCAAGAGTCAATCCATTCAGCCTGAGGATCTGAACATTAAAAGGTTTAGACTGATTAGTTTCACTGTGAAAAGAAATGTGACTGAGCAAGAAAAAGTTTTAACTGTAATTTACCTCATTGCTGTTGCTTGCAATAAGTGCAATCTGCAACATCAAGAAAATGTATAGAAAAAACATTTAGTATGTCATAAAATATAATGCATATTTCAGCACGTGTAAGTAAGCAAATAAAAGAAGCGACTCACTGGTAAACTGAAGCTTGACCTGATTAAACAGATGAACAGGAGGACTGTTTGCTGCTTCATGATTTCCTGCAGAGTCCAGATGTTTGTTTTTTTTAAGTTTCATAAATTCTCATATTTGCCTCTTCAAAAACTCCTTTTTTTTTGAGACACAAGAAACTACAAAGTCTTACCATTTCTCTTCACTTCTTCCCCGTCTTGTTTCTGTCTCCTCTCCTCGTCCAGGTGCCTTTTAAGTTCTCCGTGCGCGAGTTGTTATAGTCCACCAATATCCCACCCAGACAATATGTGGTCAGAATGACAGACGTTCCTCATGACAACAGACTCAGACACTCACAACACTAAGCATGTCATTAAGTGTAAGTCATGTCTCTGAACATCAAATCGTGTTCCGCTTTGAGTGGYTAAACATTCTTAATCTAAAACTGAGCATGCAATGACAAAATCTGCAAATTGTCACTTTTTTCACACTTGTACTTGCCATAACTTGTCACTTAAGCTTGCACAATACCCGTAGATGTTTGATTGCATGCAGCACATGTGCCAGTGTTARTACTTAAAAGTATAATTAGGGACATTAGGACCAACAAGAATTTTGGCAAGGCATGAGAAAAAAAATTCTACATGAGCAAGAMGCTCGGGATCAGACATTTGTCATGAATTGTTCATGACTTGATGTTGGTATTTAATTGGCAAACTAACAATACTTTACTTGAGTGGTATTTATAATATGGGTGAAAAGCATGTTAAGCCAACAGCTACACCTCTTTTTCAAGCAGGTAAAGTTATTTTAGATGTAAAAGGTTTTTTTATATAAAAATCCTTAGTTTTTATTTATTTTTGTTGCAATTACCACATCAATGAATGGTTCAATATATACAGTAGTTTGGCACGTATACCAACCAGCTTTGGGTATATACAGCAAGTGATTGAGTTTGAAAGTAACTGAAAAATGTTTAATAAAGCTTTACAGCATCTCCATTTCATCCTGCAATTTCTGGCATCATAAGAGATTTCTTTTTATGTCATGAGTTTTTTTTTTCCTTTAAAACCCTGGCATGTGGTGCGGCTGGTGATATGCATACTCTCAAGGAACATTAATCTCATTTTTTATACTGGACTCACTGTGTGCTGAAAGTCCTGCAGTTTATTCTTGACACACTGCATTAACTTCAGCAGCACTGAGTGAAATTTATGGTGCCAAAAGAGCCAACCAACCCACTGGGTTTCCATTTTGAGTTGATTTCAGTCTGTTCTTACCCTAAGCCTAACCCTATTTGCACACAATACTTCAAAAAGAATAATCAGTTTTTTATCATGTTAAAAATATAAAAACCTGTTTTGAGCAGACAAACGCAGCGTAATTTTGTTGTACTCTGTTTTCCCAATGCAGCATTTCTTCATATTTTAACTAATGCTGTCAAATARTTAATATTTTTAATCTGATTAATCCCAAATTAGCTGTGAATTAATCATGATTAATCTTAAATTTAAWATACATTTCTATTGCATATTGATGAAATAAATTACTTGAGTTATTAATTAGTTTTTAATGTTTTTATTTAGAAAAAA